AGAGCCGTAGGCCATTGCGAAGACGCTGCTCGGACCAAATGTGGGGAGTGTTTGCTTCATTGCAACGCTATAAAATCCCGGGGATGGCACGAAGACGGTGGTTGGAGGATTACGGAGGCGCCCACCGGATTGACGACAGAGAGAGAGAGAGAGAGAGAGAGGAGGAGGCGGAAGCTTGTGTTTTCGTGCTTCCTGCGGCCGGAGATGTGGATGACTACTTTATTTCTCGGAGCTCTGGTTTTGGACCGCCGCTCTCTCTCGCGCGCTGTACGCTTGAGTCACCATGTTGACCACCAAAGTCAACATTGACCACTAAAGTCAACTCTTTGATGTGGGAATCACATGTTTGAGCAATTTACTTACAAAAATTGCGATTTTGCTCCCAAGCATCTCAAAAATTTACTAGAGGCGTCGCTAAGATAGCAAAAGGATAAGCATGATTTATTCCTTAAATATTACTTCATGATTTATAGGTAAAAGATTGAGGAGAGTTAACAAACTCATAATAACTATGGTATACTCATTACATATCTTAAAATAATCTAAAAATAGAAAAGCTAATCGAATCAAGATTACATCATATTTGTCTACTGTTGAACGATTAAGATGAGTCAGAAGATGTTGCATGCTTAGATGAATTGTGTAATACTAAATTGTAGAAGAAAATGAATTGTATTACATTCGATTTTACAATTTGAGTGTAACACTGTAAAGTTTGTCTTCTCGGCTTCAACTCAGACTCTTTAGCTTTTGATATAAATATTTAAGGGATTTTATAATCCAATTTGATATTTTTTTTTAATTTTCATTCTACAACACTGTTTATTTACAAGTGTAACACTATAAAGTTTATCCAACTAATCTCACACTTTCAAAATATATAATATAAATAATTTCTTTTTTATTATTTTAGATATTTCTAGGTCTAGTTTGATATAAGATGAATTCATTTAGTTCAATTCATCTAAAATATATCCATTGAACTTTTTTGGGCATTTGAGCGTATCAGAGCACCTCAAAGTAAATTATGAAAAAAGAAATGCTCCTAAATAAAGGCGCAGATTTTTCTTGATATTGTAATTCAGATTAATATTTTTTGAAAACTCACTATAACATTGGTATATACTAAACTTATTTAATAAAGGTTAAGAATTCAAAATATCATCGTCTATTTTAAATTTGAATGTGTCAAGCAAATAAAGACTTTGATAATTTTTCGTAAAGTCTTGAATTCTCGAATCCTATCTAGTTTTCACCATTAACATTTTACACCAAAAAAAACGAAGAAGAAAAAGACTGTTACGACAATAAAAATACCATCTCATAAAAACATATGTCGCTCTTCATATCTTTAGATGGTCTTGTTTAAAATCTTTAGGCCCTCTCTAGTTCTTGAAATTTTTAATGGAGAGATGTCCCCGTGAGAGATAAGAAATTTATTGATTATTTTTCACTCAAAATTTCTTTTGTGTAATATTAGTTATTTATTCTTCCTTGCACTGTAAGATTTTAGTATGATAGATGATAGATCTAACCAACAACAATGCCTTTTGCTAATTCCTAATTGCTCCCATAATCTGAGTAACCATTTTGGTAAAGCGGTATCGCTCGTGTTACAGGAAGAACAGTGACATGATCCTGACAGCAAATAGGCTTCCATGAACAGCGCACCGGAGGATCATGCATGCAATGCATTCATTCATTAGTCTTGTAATTGCAACTTTACATGACAGATTTGTCTGCTGGCGTTCAATCTAAAAAGGATCAAACGAGAGAGTACAACGATCTGATGTTGTTCCAAAAGAACGAAGCAGGATGATGAGGCCAGTTAAGAATAATGCACTGACAAAGAAGCGAAGGGTAGAAGCACCTCCAAGGTTGGGAGATGGTGACAAGTTTCAGGTCTGGTCCGGTGATGAACAGGCCGCTGCTTTAGCCCCCCACCCAGCCTTTGCTCCTCCCTCGGTCCCTTCACAAACCTCGCCCCCCCCCCACCCCCACCCACCGCCCCACCGTAGTGCCGCAAAAGAAGCAATAAAGAGAGACGGAAAAGGAAAAGCGTGTAAGAAGAGTTGCTGCTTTCGATCTTTTCTTTTCCTCCCCTTCCATCGTTAAACCGCTCTTCATGCATCGCCATGCATATATTTTAATCAACCTTTGAACAGATCCCGGTCAACAATCCTTCGAACCATGCTTGCATCCACAACAGCAGCCAGAAAGAAAGAGAGAGAGAGAGAGAGAGAGAGAGAGAGAGAGAGAGAG